CTCACCATCTCGTACATATATCTTGTACACCAGCTCCTCCTGCCTCCTAAAGACAGGGTTTATGTCAGTGCTGAGAAAAGGAATGTGTGAAACGCATCTAATGGTTGCACAGTTGGCTTTACGGAATAGGGTGAATAGATAAAAGGTGGGAGTATCTTCCCCTAAGAACGAGGACGATCTGTTGTCAGCCGGAAATAGTTAAGTACGCATGTGTGAGACATACTGCAAGAAAAATTAAAAGCATAAATACATAATCCAGTAGACACCTTTTAACCTCATGAGTCTTGCATCAAAATTCAAAATATGACTTAAAGAAAAGAGGCCTTTCCTGCAAAAGTAAATGAATGGGAGGCGAATTCTTTTGCCCTCACTTTTTGCATTCCTTGGCATGTCCATCGTCGTGACCAGAGAAAGGAAGCACTTGGTCAGTAGGTACAGACATACGTGAAACTGATCCATTTATTCTTGCCTCCTGTAGCTGTTTGGATGGGGAGTGAATCTTAGTTTGATCACCCAAAATTTGGTCTCTGCAGCATTTGCACAGAGTTGTAATTTCATCTTCCTCTATTTGAGAAAAGAGTTACAGTTTTAGTGAGTCCTTAATTTCAAAAATTAAGTTCCTTCTGGAATTCAGGTGTAGCATTGGACATAAAGATAAACAAAAACAGCTTTAACTTCAAAGAACCTATTTAGGCTGAGCTTTATTTCAGTTAAACCAGGAGGAAAGGAATGTCCCTGTTAAGGTACTGTGGGGCACATGCGTAACGTTTAACCCTTAGGGCAACACTGTGCTGACAGCCTTATCTCCTTTTGGAGGTGAGAAGAGATTAAGGTTTAGAGAGATTTAGCTAACTTCCCCAATCCTTCAGGTCTGTTGGATTCGGCCACATTTTGCTTGCTCCCCTCCTGTTCTCTCCGCTGACTTACGCCCCTATTTCTAGCGTCTTCTCTCTTCTCTCCTCATCCCTGGCCTTTGTCATGTGCTGGAGAGACGGGAGTAGGAGAGCAGGGGAGGAAATTATTTGCTCCAGGGGTTTGGGTATCATCTCTGGCCTACCCTCTTGTTCTAATTTGAGGACCTCGCAGGAAAGATGCCTTTGAGATGCATCCCTGAGTTTGTTTTCCCCTAAGCGATCTCACTGGAACTCGGCGTCTTGGTCCTTCCAAATGTGCAAATCCTCCAGTCTCCTTTCCTCTCTGTCTGGTTCGTGCTCTGGCACGTGTCTCTCTTCATTGAAGCCTTCAGAAGATTCCTTTCTCTAGTTCTCAGACAACTAATTTATCTGTGTTTCTTCTCTTTGTTTTTAACTTAGTTGAGTAGGGAATTTTCTTACAAAATTGTATTTGCTCTCCAGTCGTGCTCTCGTTTGAAGATGTAACAGGAAGACAGAAAGAGTCTTTCTCCGTAGGATCAAAAAACAGTGCATAGCTTAAGATAATGACACTAAAATGTTATTGGTTATTAATAATAAACTTTAAGATATGCAAGGTGAGTGGATCTTATGGCTTAGTGGAGAGGGTTTAAGAAAGTCTTAGGAATCATTTGAAAGTATTCTCCTTAGTAGTTGTTCAATAGCATGCTTTAATGTAATTTCACATGATTTCAGCATAGCAAAAGGATTATATGAAATAAAAAAAAAAAAGCAAGGTGTTCGTGTGCAGTAAATAAGCAATCATCTGGAATTATTTAGAGGAAAAACAGAAACACTGGTATTTATGCAGTTTATACACATGATAAATTCCTCCGAGCACAATTGCATAACCAGTGTTGGCCCTTACTCTGTTAACTACAGCCTCAAGGTACGTAGTCAGAGACTGAAATTAGATGAGAGGACCCCACACAAGGATTGTGGTTTTAGATTCTTTCCAAATAAATTACTGCATAACCAAATATGGTGTGTGAGGATCTGAGGATCTACGGGGAGGAACCTCCTCGTGGCAGTTGTTACTGATAATACATACCTTCCAAGTGACAGCATAATGTGCTTAGTTATTCCCTGAGGACTGGGACTGAACCTGGGGGCCCTGAAGACTAGGCTGCTACTTGACAGCTAATTTGATTCACAAGTACCTAAGTGCTTTTTAAATTGGTACTTAAGTACTCTCATAATGAGGTCTTAGCAAGTTTTTGTCAACACCCAATTCAGGTATACAGATAAGCCATTCTGGTCTGTGGGTCTGTAACTGATAAATACATTCTCATGCTTTGCATTGCTGGCTTTCTCTGCGTTTCTTCTGTGTCAATCTCTTTATTTTCTGACCCTTGTAAAGAGCTCTAGTGGAAATGCATGGAAATAGCGCATGAAATATGCACTGCAAGTGTGCACATGGAGATGTGGCCTTATCTCCATAAACTGAAAGCAGAAAAGGACTAGGCCTTCATCCGCATCCAGCAGCATTAGTACCACCTTATTCGTAACCCTTAATGACAGTGGCCGATGTTTCTAACACACTTACCAGGCGCCAGGCCTAAGAGCATCAGCTCTTTCAGTCTTCACAACATCCGTCTGGTGTGGGGACTGTCCTTCCAGTTGATGATCACAGAACCAAACTTCAGAGGTCATGTGATCCTCCCAAGCTCAGTCGACTTATAAGTGGCAGCACATTGCATCCCTAGAGCCCAGACTCTGCACTGCATGGACGTCGCCTCTGAGACGCAGAGTGCCCTGAGCCCTTGAAAGAGTCTGTGTCCCCCAGAAAGCAGGGATTTACCATATTCTTTTGAATCCCTAAAACGGCATCTGGCACATGAGTAGATGCTCAGAGAGTTTTAATGAACAAATTTGAGTGAGGAGAGAAGGGCCAGGTAGAGCAGGAGGTCCTGACCAGATCCTTCTCTCAGATCGCCTTAGAGCCGACCCAGCTGATGGCCGTTTGGACCCCTGATTGATCAGTCGAAGAAAGAATAATGTTAGGATGTTTATCTTCAAGAACACATTTTGAGAACAGAAAGAAGAGTGTTATGGAAGTGTGTTTGGCTTGGAGCAGGCGCACGTGTCCCCGGGTGAGCTGGAGCCATCAGCTGCAGATTGGCCACATGCCCTCCTGATGAGCATTCAGCTTTTAGTGCCATCTCAGCCACAGCCACAGGGGCCTGCCAAGCCTGCTGTGCGTTCTGTTTTTCTCCCAGTTCAGCCTCTGAAGTCTAGACTCACAGAACTTAAATGGGGTTTCCTAGGCTCATGCTCATGGTCACATTTAGTGTACTGTTCTTAAGACACGCTTTGCATGTATATACCTGCCAGGGCATTGTTGCTGGAGTCACTTAGACAGGTAAGAGGTTTTTTTCACATCATCATTAGGCATTAAGAATAACTTGCTAATTCTTAGTAATAGCAAGCATAAAAGCTACCTGAACCGATTCTTAATGTCAGGGGAACCCTGAGGACAGGGTGCCCTTCCCCTCAGAAATCTGATAATTTTATAACTGAGGGTAAGATAAGGTATCAGGGAGGGAAATTTTGGCTGCAAGATACATAGGACATGCCCATGATCACTAAACAAGAAAAATTCAAGCGATGTGGACAGGTGTGTAGCCAGTTTAACTGTGCACCTGATGCAAGAGATAAGAGCTTCATCGTGACTTTGAAGTCCTGATGTCAGCCCTGATCTGTTGGCTCATCTTGGGCCGTGGCTGGGCCCCACCCAGGCAACCAGTTGATCTGAGTGTTCTTTAGACCTTGCTACGTGCAGAGCCTCATGCAGAGAGGATTGGGTGATTTTGATGACCTTGGGGATTTGGGAGCCAACACCAAGAGTGTCACTTTTTAAGAACTAGAAACAACTTAGATAATCTTTTAATAGGGATCATTCAAAATTATACTCAAGCTGCCAGTAAAGTAAATGCCATGCTTAGGGTTGAGCAAATGTGTAGTTTCCTATT